CTGACATTATTGTTAGCTTACAGAACAATCCTGAATATTTCTGCTCTCAGCTAATATCACATTAGATAACCCTTGAGATGGTCAAAAGTGCTTAGACTGACAAAAAAAACTTAATAATTTAGGTGCAATAAAATTATGCTTTTATAATTATAAAAAATTGAATAATCAGAATAACTTGACTTCTTGCTACTGGTGGACTTGGTCTGTAGCTTGCCTCTTGTGCAGCTAAAAAGTTGAAGGAAAAGAGGCTGGCTGACAAAGTTGAAGTGAGATGGCTCATAAACAAATGGGCATCTTCTTTAATAGGCCATGGTGTATCTGAGATAGCAGCTGCTCTGTATCTAATGCAATTGCTCAGAGTGGTCGTAATAATTTCTGACATCCAAATTTGTGTCATCAAAGTGTAGTCACCCTCACTGTTTCTTTATCTTGATGTAGTAAAGCTGTCCCTGTGCAGTATGGAATCATTTTATACAGGAAAATGTTTATAGTTTTCTGAGACTATAAGGAGAAAAATGTTTTTGTTTGTGTGTGTCAATGTGTCACACATAGTATAGACAAAGAAAATGTCATTGTGTTTACGCTTGTGGATCATATTATACACATTTGTAACACTTTGAGACATATTTCTGTGCATAAACAAAAATATGAAATATAGAAAAAAAAAGTCTTAAACAGTTAAAGTGTTTTTGTTAAACCTCTAGAATTAAAGCTAAAACTTTTGGTGGTGTACAGAGTCATAATTACCAAAAAAGCAAACTCATGCTATATTTAATGTCATTTTGGTGTAGAGTTCTTTTAAGTATTAAATTTTTTCAGTGAGAAATGTAAATATCTGCATTTAGGAAGAGAAAATAATGAAATAATAATGAAAATAATTTTAACGTCATGATGAATACTACTCGTTTTGCATTGTCTTTGTTTGTGCTGCTCACCAACATTATCGCTCCTGTGACGAGTAGAAGTACCACGGTGTCTTGAAATGGATTGACGTCCAGGGGGCTTCCCTCTCTGTGGTGCTTCACTTTCCTTGGGTTTATGAAGCACATGTATGGTCTCTCCCAGAGGCTTTGTGACAACCATAGATGTGAGCGGCG